AGTTGCATTCTGTTGCCGCACACTCTGTCGGTGTGTCCTGGAAGAACTACACACTCTGTCAGTGCTTCCCAGAGGAACTATTGAGGGAGGCATGGTTGGTGTGTCCCGGAAGAACTGCCAAGGGGCACTGGTTGCACTCTGTTGCTGCACACTCTGTTGGTTCCTCCCGGAAGAATGGCCGAGGGAGGGATAGTTGGTGTGTCCCAGAAGAACTGCTCAGGGAGGGATGTACAGTAGGCACTGGCCCCATTCCGTTGCTGCACACTCTGTTGGTGCTTCCTGGAAGAACTGTCAAGGTGGGGATATACATCAAGCAATGGGTCTTTCACTCAAACCCAGAATGTGGCCAATGCCCCTTCTATTATCCCTTCCTTGGTAGTTCCTTCAGGAAGCACCAGTGGAGTGTGCAGCAGCATAATGCGGCCAGTGTCTACTGCATATCTGTACCTTGGCAGTTCTTCCGGGAAGCACCAACAGAGTGTGCGGCAACAGAATGCAGCTGGTGCCTGCTGTACATCCCTCCCTTGGCAGTTCTTCTGGAAGGAATCAATGGAGTGTGCAGCAACAGATGTGACCAGTGCCTCCTGTATTATCCCCCCCTCAGCAGTTCTTCCAGGAAGCACCGACAGAGTGTGCAGCAACAGGAGGACTGTACTGCAGTATTACACAACACAAATAGAGAGAGTGCAGAGTGCAGTGAGTACATGCACCCTCTAGACCACTGAACTGCCAATGAGTATGTGTGTTTCTTGGAAGCATGGACTGAAAGATTCGGCATGTGTTTCCCAGAGGCAATAACTGAAGTATCCTGTGTATGCTTCCTGGCAACATTTATTAGGCAAGTGTGCATGTGTTTCTGGGAAGCACTGAAGTATTCAATGTGTGCTTCCAATCTCTCAGTCTGTGCTTGGGGGAAACATATAGATGTGCTCCATGTCAGTGCTTCTTGGAAGCACAAACATGTAATACCTCAGCTGATGCTTCCCAGAAACCCAAGCCCAATTGTTACTCTCTGTTTGTACTTCCAGGAATCACATCTCAATCTTAATCTCTCTGCATTTCTTGGGGTGTATGCCTACTTGTTTGTACTTCACAGGGGCATAGTCTCGCTGTTGTCCCCTGGTGTCTCTCTCTCTCTGCCCCCTGGTGTATCTCTCTCTGTCCCCTGGTGTCTCTCTCTCTGTCCCCTGGTCAAAATATTTTGGTCCCCTACTGTTGCCTCTCTCCGTACCCTAGGAGGTCCTAATAACCCTAAGACTCTGCATCAACAGATCGGTGGTGACGGCGTCAGAGGCGTGAGGGAGATAGCGATCATGGCCAACGTTGGAGCTTGTCTTGGTATAGCGCGTTACGAGGGTGAGAAACTTGCCGACCCAACACAAATTCCTGAGCCTGGTGGGAGTGTTGCGCAGAAGCATTGCGCAAATCTCTGTTCCACGCATTGGCGCACCACCGATCAACTCCATTCTGATCAAAAGAAGCTCGTTAAACTTTGAGTAGTTCTGGAGCCAGCGTCTGAGTTGAACTGCGTTCCAAACCAGTTGGCCTTGTTCATCGATGCCACGCACGAACCGATTGCGCAGTTCTGGAGTCTCAAGAATGTGGAGAATGAGCGCATCTTCCTGAACAAAGCCCGTGCTGTTGCGTGGATCTGTTCCAAAGTAGTAGCCTGGGGTGTCATTGCGCAAATCATCCACTATATCGCCAGCGCCTTTGGGCCAGTCAAACTTGAGCTTGCTGCGCAGCAATATCTCTTCATCAAACAACCTGACCGCTTCATCCTCCGTGTGCTGGAACATCTTCACCAAGTCTGCGCGATCCACTCTAGAGCCTCTGATCATGAGAACATCCCAATGCTTGCGATCGATCCAAATGATGTGGGGATCGCGCACTTCAGTGAGGGCAATCGTGGTAGCGTAGCGTTGAATGCTGTAAAGATGGTGCAAGGTAGAGTTTTGGCCTTCCTTCATCCACGGTTTCAACTCTTCACAGCGTGCGAGGCATGCCGTTTCACCTTGCGCTCTCGAAACGCGATCCCCGATGGCCTTGACAGTGACAAGTTCACGAGACCAAGCAAGACGCATGCAGTAGAAAATGCGCGCAATGCGCGGAGTGAGGTCGACAGGGCCAATAAGCTTCCCGTCCTTGCGAATTGAGCTGAAACAAAGGAAAAGCAACGTTGGATCAGTCGGAAGTCCATTCTCTGCGCTGCCAGACCACGGGTGCGTCCAAATGCCAAAGAGAAGCTTCTGAATGAGGGCCGTAATCTCCTCGTTAGAGGTTGTGTCGTCTCCTTTCTGAACAATCGTGACGAGCTGAGAACGAGTGTCTTCGAGGTGAGCAGGGAAGGACGCAAAGAAGGGTGCGCTGTTGTCACGTAACATGAATCCCAAGATGCGTTTTGCCCATGACGTGTATTCCTCCAAAGTCTCCTCTTCTTGGAACCGATCAAAGGGTGCACCGAGCGATCTGGAAGGGAGAAAGAGAGAAGAAGGAACCCCACGTCAATGAAAAATAAGAAAAAGACTCTCTTGAAACTATGCGCAGCAGACTCACTTTGATGGATCATGATGAAGGACGTGTTGGCCGACCAAGAGCGGGAGTGCGCTGAGCAAGTTGCTGGTTGTCTCATGGTGAGGATAGAGCAATGAAGTGATGCGCGCCAACTCGGGTTCATCTTCAATGAGGGGAGCCAATGTCAAGCTGCGAAGGTCCTGTGGCGTGAGATTGAACAAACGTTCAGAGGTGGCGATCGATTCAACCCAGCCAACTTTGCGCAAAAAGGGAGTCTGGTCCTTTGCGACGGCACTGTATCCAGGAGACGGAAGTAGAAGGGCCACCTTGTCGCGCAGTCCAGAGACGACGGTGTTGTTGGCACTTGGTTGAGGCAAACCCAACGGCTTGACCAAAAAGAACTTGGTTCTCGCATTGAAGCGCTGCGCATAAACTTTTGTGGACTGGAGGTTGGAGGAGGCCTTTGAGTGAACGTTGTTGAGATGTTCCTTGGCACGGCGAGTGTCCGCAGAGATGTGTGCGCAGTGGGGACATTTCCAGGCCTCGTACACTGGCAGGCCTTGGATCTCCTCAACAGGTTCATCAGCGTAGCCATCGGGGACAGTACGGATATCTTCCAAGGTGAAGCAGTGCGCAGTTGCTTCCTTGGCCTTTTGCCAGCTGACTTTTGCGCTGTCTTTGTGGTCAGAGGACTCCCAATAGTGGTCTTGAACCAGCTTGAGATTGCGCAGCGCAACACCGTGTTGCACGCAAATGAACATGCGCAAAACAGACTGCCAAATGAATCCCAAAGGCCACAGATAATCGATATGAACAATCTTGTGAAAGCGAGGGTCAGCTGTGTAAGTTCATTTGCGCAAAAAGCTGTTGGAGACTTGCATCTTTCCCAAAAAAGGGCGCGCGCATTGGAGAAGGAGCAGGAGCAGTAGTATCAGTATCAGTATTCTGTTGGATGTGTTGGAAAAACATTAGTGTGTGCGCATTGAACAGAAGAGAAGAGACTTGCCGGGAGAGCCAATGGACTGCTAATAGAGAGCGCAACAGTGGGCGCAGCAGAGGGTGCAGCAGAGGGCACAGGAGAGGGCGCAACAGAGGGGCCATTGTAGCTGGTGACCTTTGCGTGTCGCCTGAAGACCTGCTTGTTGTGAAACAGGTGGCCACCGTGCTTGCGTTCTTCAAAACACATGCATCGAAAGCCTTCTTGGACCGACGCGCGTTGGAAGGACACCGTCACTCCATCAGCAAAGGTGGTTGAGTAGCGGAGGTCAGATGCCTGGCAGAACAAAGCAGTTGATTAGCCACGCTGGAAAGTATGCGCGCGCGAGCACACCACTAGGGCTGGAGGGAAACTCACCATGACAATTGGCTCAGACAGTGTCTCGGGGGCTGGGGAGGAAGAAAAAAAAGAGGGCTGAGATGGGGGGCCCTCTCCCTTTATATATGGAGGGCGCCAAGGCAGCCGATGATGTAATCAGACAGGAGGGCGAGAAAGGGAGTCCGCGCAACCAGGAGCAGAACCTGGCAGACGGGAATAAGAGTACGCGCAACCAGGACCAGGGCAGGGGTGGCATCTGACAGACAGGAACAAGAGTACGCGCAACCAGCTGGCAGACGGGAAAAACAGTCCGCGCAACCTGGGAGCAGGAGCTGGCAGGCAAGAACAAGAGTCCACGCAACCTGTGGCAGACCTGTAGCAGGTGGGAAAAAAAGTCCGCGCAACCAGGACCAGGGCAGGGGTGGCATCTGACAGACAGGAACAAGAGTACGCGCAACCAGCTGGCACACGGGAAAAACAGTCCGCGCAACCTGGGAGCTGGGCAGGAGCTGCACCTGGCAGACGGGAATAAGAGTACGCGCAACCAGGACCAGGGCAGGGGTGGCATCTGACAGACAGGAACAAGAGTACGCGCAACCAGCTGGCAGACGGGAAAAACAGTCCGCGCAACCTGGGAGCAGGAGCTGGCAGGCAAGAACAAGAGTCCGCGCAACCTGTGGCAGACCTGTAGCAGGTGGGAAAAAAAGTCCGCGCAACCAGGACCAGGGCAGGGGTGGCATCTGACAGACAGGAACAAGAGTACGCGCAACCAGCTGGCACACGGGAAAAACAGTCCGCGCAACCTGGGAGCATACCTGTGGCAGGCGGGAACAAGAGTCCGCGCAACCTGGACTTCACCTGTACAGTGCGCGCAGGCCAAATCTGGCAGACGGGAAAGCAAAGTCCGCGCAACCTGGCGCTCCCGGGAGCGCCGGGGGGGCATATGGCTAGGCGCCGATCTGGCAGACGGGAAAAGAGAGTCCACGCAACCTGGCACTCCCAGGAGCGCCGGGGGGGCATATGGCTAGGACTATCAGGATCATCCAGCTCACGGCTGTAGATTATAGACGGGCTTGACTACGCCCCGCAATCTTGTCCCTCACACAGACAGAGCCTAGTATTGAGTATAATATGATATCTCAACGTTACAAACCAACAAGAAAATCAAATGAGCCACCGCTGGGTCTCGAACCCAGAACTCCGTAGGTGACGCTATACCTCACCCGGGTATATGGCCACGGCGTGTAACCATTACACCACGGCGGCTTGTTCAGACATGGTTTGATTGATCCTATGGAGTAAATATTCCGTGGTGTGAGTGCTGAGGACTCACCAGAGGTGCGGCTGTAATCTACAGCCGCGACCGTGTAGAGCCAACTACATTGTTCATCGGGTCCCCGTTAGCGAGACTCGATGAATTCTACTGCTCGGATCCAATCCTGACATTTATCGGGATTGTTTCACCGGCGGCAGTAGATTATAGACGCGCTGGGTACTGTCCCTCTTCAGGTCTGTGTACGCTCACATACACTTTCACAGTGTGTAGATGTTGTCTCTATTACACAGTGGTCCAGTGGGCAACCTCTAAGGCAGTAGGGGTGACCTCTACTGCTCCAGAGGTGACTTCTACCGCCCTAGAGGTCGGACCCCTGGACCCCTGGAGGCTTGTAATCGCCGTATATAACCCAAAACCGAGTCCTTCGACGCTGGATTGGCAACTGTGTGAAGAGTTTGGATGGATTCGGATCTGGTTATGAGTCTTGAGAGAATGGGGAACTTACAGGACGAGCGACGACCAACGAAATACTGACCATTTCCGGCGTGATCAGGTTCGTTCGCGAGGAAGCTATTAATAGCTCGTTGAGCATTGGGTAATCACAGGGATAACCGAATATCTAGAGTAGCGGCGGAGAATTTCATAGCGCGCGTTCAAGGTGTGTCAAGGAAGCTCTGAAGCAAGGAAGAGGGAACAAACCCAAGTCCTTTGATATCCCTCTCGTTCCTCTGACTCGCAACGAGGCGGGGGTCATTGTTGTCCATGGTCTGTTGAGTGAAAAACTCAGGAACCGGATCAACACCATGATCTACAACCCACAAAGAGCCCCTTTACTTGGCCTCGACTGTCGACAGGGTGCGCAAATGAACTTGTACTTACGGTAGAGGCACAGGGCTAGTATGAACACAACAACTTCCAGAATACATCTCCGCGCTCGCTTCGTAAGCTCGTTTGCTTGAAATAAAAAACCGGTCAATATGTTTAGCCTGAGTTGCCACATCGGAGCTGGGTGAGGGGTTGGTCACGTCGTTCAAAAGCCGGTCTTCGACCTCAATTCCTGTTCAATGAGGTTCTTCTAAAGTCTGTGCCTAACTCATCATGACACTCCGACATAATAGGATCCTGTTGTGGCTTTTGGCCCTTGGGACTTACAATAGGCAGAAAATACAGATTTGGTGGGCGGAAGAAAGAGACTAAAAGTCAAAACTCTGTGCAAATATGATCGAGATTATGACGAGTCAACGGTCACCAATCGCTTGGAAAACGAAGGAGAGTCACCATGTCATCGCTTGAAGCCCATCCTAATCTTTCTGATGCTGTAATTATTCCACGATCCAGGGCCGTCAGATGTCTCCAACTTCGCCGCAAAGTGAGGACGTAATTAATACTTAGCATCTTTTTACTTGCAGGACGATCTGAAGCGTTCGAGAGGGTTCTCGACAGGTACAATTGCCCACACCCAGAAATGGAAAGTTCGTCTAGAGGGCAGGGATTGAAAACGATCGGAGGGCTGTGAGTATGAGTGGCGAAAGTTCCGGGGAAGGAGTCAGTGCATTAGTAATTTGCACACGCCACAGACGCGTTGCGCGTCGTTCCTGAACTGTGTGACGAAATCACATGTGACATCTACTTTCCTGCTTACCACGATGTTCAGATTCTTATCTATACATCTGGCGACTCTCTTTTTCGCTTCCTCCCGACAAAATCCCTATGAATGACTTGCTCGTGCCTGTAAGCTGTCTCCATATTGGTCAAAATATCTCTTACTAACCAGCTTGTTACTCTATCATTCGTAATGCGTATGGGCTCATTTGTTTCAATCAGATGAATCTTTACCACTAACAGGAAGCGTATGCGAGCTTTCATTGGAGAATGTTGTCGATACGAGAGACGTACGAATTGAAAAAGAGGAAGGATAGCATAATCAGGTCCTATAGTACGCTTGTGGTAAGTTTGACCTTGTAGAAGTGACTGCAAAATAGCTCTGACGAAGGAAATCCCCTTGAAAGACCTTGAAAATCGAATGCAAGATATCGCGCATGCGTCCGCCAACTTGGAAGCTAAAGCTGACAATATCACCAGAAAACCGACTATGCACACCTATCCGGAATGGCGTGCGTTTTCCTCGCAATACCGGTTACGCATGCTCGCCGGTTGTACTCGAGAACGGTCTTGGATGTGAGCTTGAAATCTAGATGCTGCCTGAACAAACTTGGAGCTTCACAATTGGAGCTCAAGGTACGTCTTACTTGTATTTTGTGCCTTTCCTTTCCTCGAAAGACCGACGGTTTTTCTCTAGATCACGCTTTCGTTCTCGTGGCAAGAAATGGCAGCTCGAAGAGCCGAAGTAGGCTATGTTAGTGTGGAAGAAGAACCTGCAAGTAGGACATTCTCGACGTATGTTTTTGTCCGTTCTCTCTGCTCGTCTGGATGCATACTGACTCGCGTTTCTCCTCAGTTTGCCTCATAAGGGATGCGGCACAACCTGCCTTGAAACCTCAATCGACTGGGCAACTCGAGGTGTGAACATTTCTCCCCTTCAAAGTTAGACATTGCTGAACATTCGTTTCCCAGTTCCCTAAGACGTAGGAAGTGATGACACTTTGCTCTCGGTACTGCGTCGTGACACCTTTGGCTGGCTTCGACCTGGATGGATCGGTATACTGGATGCGGGGACCACTGGAAAATTCGATGCCCCAGCGCCGTTACCCTCGAAAACTGTAGATGCGTCAACCATCGGGGCTTCCGAAGACCTTTGACGTTACGGAGTCTAGCAGAGTTGACAACATCGTGTTCTACGATACGGTTTGACTCTAGCGTGGGCACTTGAACCTATACCTCGACCTGATCCTCCGACTCTCAACTGGGCGAGGGAACTGCTGGGTGCCAGCGGTCGGCTCTACGCTTCTCCTACTCTTGTGGCCGACGACGGCTGGCTTAGGCTTACCTTGAGAGGTATTCAACAATGCTAAGGGTACGTTGGATGCGTGGCTGTACATGTAGGTGTGGTATGTTGTCTTCCGTTTCATTTTGGTCGTATCCGCTGATACGAAAGTTTGACAGACTTTTGATTGATGGAACCCGGGCATTGGGTTGATGGGCGATAGGGCGTTCATCACGGAGAGTATCAATCGTCTACCTCCGAGCAGCAGCCCTCATTGGCCCTGCATGACGACCGCTGGCACCAATCATTTTCCGTAACAACTGATACGTCTACTTGTTTTTCCATGCCTTCACTTGTTCCTTTGATTCCCACCTCCCCGCTAGGAAACCGAGCTGGACGGATCGGCCATCACTTATGTCGAAGGGTTGAACGTTCGCCTCTCGCCACGCATTCTTCACCTGCGCTTCATCCCCGAAGATATCGCACAGCTTCGAACAATCATGCTCGAGCAAAAATTTGGGCCTGATCATGTTAGGAACGTTCCATGACTTCATGTTCATTATTGCGGGTCGCTACTCGTTACGAATTAGCAATCCATCACCAGTTTTGCTGTGGTTCAGGTTGGTTGTCATGCCATGTAATTCGGTACAACTTCCAGGAGAATTTCGAAGAGCGTTGTTGTTGTACCTCGGTGTGAGATCTTCCACCTTGCGGCGATCTACGGCTAAATCGAACGCTTTGTCTCCCGAACAACAGGCACCGGCATCGGGGGGGGCTACCGGAAGAGTTCATACCTTCGCGGAGGCAACACAGAAGGGGCAGTCGAATTCCATAAGCCCCTCTACAGCTACTCTACAGCTACGCTCGCGTTCGATCCTTTGGTCGTCGGATCGTTGAACGAACGACCTCTCGGATCATGTGGCGGAGTGGAGGAGCTCAATATGTAGCTCTTCCGACGCGTCATACATTGATTCATGCACGATAGACTCGCACTACATGCTCTGCCTGCTAAGCATTGGGTGCGGCGACTCTCCTTCTCACCGTGGCTCAGGGGCTTTTCGGGGCGATATGGGCCAGGAACAGTCCGATTGTGCAAGGACGCAAAGTCATTCAGGATGACTCGGTGCTTACGGCTCGTTGTGTTTCAGCGGGATTTCCATCAGCGATGGCGTCGTAACCACGAGCTCGAGGTAGACGGCTTGCATGGTTATACCGGACAAGGCTTTGTATTTAGTTTCCTGTGGCGATACCATGTTTTGGGGCTAGTAGGTGACATTTTCTTCACGGTCATGTAACTCTCTAACTGACTTTATTTTATTTTTACGACGCAGATGAGGCGAACGGCAGCCGGTATTGATTGGGATGTCGCAAGTCATCGAGAACGGCTTTTGACAGCGCCCAATGCGTTGATCGAAGTTTCTCTTGTTACCTAGTGCCAAGAAGTTTTTTCACAGAGACATCCCCTATCACCCCTTTACTCGCGAGAATATTAAGGGCGCTGGATCAGACCAGTCCCCTCCAGCGTTTTACCCGCCTTCCACCCTCTCTTCACCATCTGGTCTCCTTGCGCCTCTTGCGCCAACCAACAACTCGCTTTCGAGTAGTCACTCTTTACGACACAGACATTCCTTTACCTTTTCTCGTTTATCTGGGAATATGCGTCTTTCACTCTCTTCCTCACTACTCCTCGCCTCCTCTTTGAGCACTGGTGCCTTCGCCGGTGTTGTCAAGAGGGCGACCCCAGACCGTTCGAATGTTGTAGAGAACTCCAAGATCAAGGGTGAGTAGTGTTTCCCCTGCCTTCTTCGCTTTCCTTGCTCAACGATTATGCCCCCTATTCGGAACAGATCCCAAACAAGAATGCTCCCCATACTGGTACCCACCTTCGGACAAATATCCCGCTTTTCCTTCCACCTGGGACATTGCAAAGATTGTTCCTGGAGATACCGCTGCTACGAATGCGTACAACTCGATCAAGTCGAAGATTGTCAACAGTCCGCAGAAGGTGCGCTGGCTCGTGGTTACGAAGTATTTCCTTTATAGACTGACTCTTTGTACGCTGAACTAGGGTCAGAATGGCGTCTTTACTGCGACTAGCACGTATAA